CATATTATAACATTTTTTCGGGTATCTTGAAAATGGCATATTTAATAGCTGGACCCAGTATTTAATAACCTTTAAATAACTATTGATATACATGGGAAACCGTCCGCATTCACCATATACCCTTGCGTTTTCTGTGCTAGATTTTACCCCCAAGAACCATTTACATGCATATAAATGTATTTTCTCAATAACATCCAAATGTTCTAGGCCCCAAATTTCTGATCCATACAATAGCATCGGGCTTATTTTTGTATCAAATATTTTAAAATAAACATCATATGTAACATTGTCCAGAACTTGCTTGCAATGAAATGTTATGTGCATTCCTTGACCAAGTTAATCTACTTGTAAAACACAAGCCTAAGTATTTATAAAATGGAACAACTTCTACAGGCTTCCTTCTGTAAAACCATTTTTCTTTTCTGGATAAACTTTGGTTTTATCCATATTTACAGTAAGTTTTGACTCGTCACAATAACTCTCTAATACATGTATTTGCTTTTGCAGGCCAGGTATTGTGCTCGAGAACATGACTATATAGTCAGCGAAAAGAAGCAGAAATAATTTAATAGTTTCGGGGTGCAGTTGTATTCCATCAGTGCAATTTATTTGGATTTGATATGCCAAATCATTTATGAAAAAGGAAAATAAGAAGGGACTTAATATACACCCTTGTCGGACACCCCTGCTACTTACAAAAGTGTCCGATATAGCGCCATTGTTCCGGACACACACCTTCACATTTTTATATAGAGAGCATAATAACTTTCCAATTTTGCTACTTAGCCCATGTCTTTGAAAGAGTGACCACAAGTTATCCCTTTTCACAGAGACAAAAGCTTTTGCAAAATCTACGAATACAGCATATAGCTTCCCTCGTTTCACTGATAGATATCTCTGAATTATAGAATATGGGATAAAAGCATTGTCAGTGGTGGAGTATCCTTTTCTAAAACCTGCTTGTGACTCACTTATCTTATCCAAAGAATCCGCCCAGAAAACAAGTCTCTTATTAATAATTGAAGTAAATATTTTACTGAATGTACTTAGGAGAGTTATGCCTCTGTAATTATTAACATCCTTGGTTGCGCCCTGTTTGTGAAGAGGGACAATAATGCCAACTGTCCAATTATCTGGAAAATATGATCTCTCTAAAACGATATTAAAAATTAGTTCCAAATATGGTATTAAAATGACTGAGGAATGCTTAAAAAACTCTGCTATCACATTATCATTTCCAGATGCCTTATTATCTTTAAGGTTGGATATGCTGTCAATAATTTCCTCTCTAGATATTGGACATTCAAGAATATCATCTGTTACACTGTCAACTTTATCTTCCATGAATTCCATGTCAAATAAATTGTTATTGTCATGGCTAAATGGAACTGAAAACAGTTCCTGGAAATGCTCAAACCAGGCTTGAATATCAATGTCATTTTTGCAATATCTATTTGGTTTAATGGCTTTTAGCGATGACCAAAATGTTTTAGAATTATCTATGCTTGATTCCAACAGTTTCTGTTTTTGTTCGAAATATTCTGTCTTTTTTTCCCTACAAACAACGTTGTACTGATTTCTTACTCTATTATAGTCGGTTAGTGATCCTCTATCCTTATTCTTTCTAAAGTTATTTAAACGTCTACATCGTTCCTTTTTAAGTAGCTGGCATTCGCTATCAAACCATTGTTGATCATATTTACAGTCCTTATTCATTTTCTTCATATCTGATGCAGCAATAATAACAGCTTCAGTGATATACCCAATACCTTCTTCAACGTTAACAAATGCTACATCTACAGCCTTCTCCAGTAAATCAGTCGCAGTCCCAGAAATAAGGTTTATTCTAAACTGTTCAGCCTTCTCTTCAACCCACACAAATTTGAAGGAAGCATTGTTACGTGTATTGCGTGGCATAGGGTCATTTACTAGAAGCGTACGTAAACTAGTCGTGACAGGAAGGTGTGATGACTCGGCTCGAGACGGTATGTCAAAGCTATGGCACATATCAAACAACTCGGACGAGGCAATAACATTATCCACCACACTCGCACCCTGGTTACCTATAAAAGTAAAATCTCCCACCCCGGCGTCTGACCCGCACCTTCCATTCATAATATGTATATTTAGTATACTGCATAAATCTAGTAAGCTCTTACCAAAATTATTCAAAGATAAATCCACAGAAAATCTTTTTAAGCTGAAATTGTCTAACAGAAATCCCCATACACTGTTATTATGACCCTCGAGATATTCAAGGATATCATCTTCTACAAAATCAGATTCCGTGCTAGTTCTGGCATTCAAGTCTCCCCCAATCATCAAATAAACATCATCACAATGTGCTAGTGTATCAAGTAAGTCATTTTGTAATATTTGTATACCATTTTTGCATTGCCTCAAAGGGTTTGTGTACCAAGTCGAACATTCAGGGTGAACATAGACACATGAATATAGCAAATCTTTTTAAATCCAAATACGGTTTTATCTAACAGCATGAAAATGCCACTGTCGTAAACTTTAGACCATTTTACATATTTAACAAGTTGCTGTCTAACTAATATGGCAATACCACCAGAAAGTCTACCCAAGTTGGAAATCTTTTCAGCTTCTTTGATCCATAGCTTGAATCCTGGAAATATCAAACTTATGTCTATATCTTTCATCCATGTTTCTGTTATGCCGATGAAGTCAAATGAGTTTAAATAATCGGTAAAGTCCTGATCAGTTAATTTAGAATTAAGTCCTGATACATTGCAGAAAACAAATGTTCTATTTTTAAATGTACAATCATCGAAATCATCTGTCGTATCTACATGAGGCGTCCTACAATCACGCTCGGTCTCGTCGCACCCCTAGTGGGTTGCTGACCTGTCCCAGGCCTTAGCGCGAGAACTCAGAAGTCGTGGTCCTGTGTGTGAACCTCCCCGTCTATGTCCTTGTGAGGGTGATGTTCTGATGTTCTGGCTATCCCTTCTCTCCCGTCTGTGTGCTGTGGTTCTCTCTGGTGTCTCTTGGCTATCTCTCATCTCACTATCCTTCTTCACATCCTCGACAAGTTTGCCTCCTTTATAAAAAAACCTCTTATCTGGGTTTTCACGTCGTAACCTGCCTAGCTCTTGTCGCTGGAAATATGTTAGGCCATTAGCCACACCATGTCCCATTTCTCTCAGGGTATCCCTGAATCCAAGTGTTTGGATTTTATCATCCCAGTGTGCCATTTTCACTATAAGAGGGCGGGGTTTATTTGTTGTTTTGCTGGATATCCTGTGTGCACGTTCTATGTCTCTATCAGCAAGTTCCCCATATGTAGGATTCTTATTTCTGGCTCTATTAAAAATGTCTAGTATCTTTTCCTTGCACACTTTATAAGATTCTTCTACTCCCTCTGGTACCCCATATACAATCAAATTATTTCGTCTTTCCTGGTGCTCTACTCTAGACTCTAGCTCACTAACACTGTCAGACCAGTAATACAGTTCATCTACTTTGTTGGATACTTCGTCAACATCTAGTCTGAGAATGGCCTGTTCTTCTCTATTCACACTGACTTCTGTTCTCAGTTCACATACCTCTGCCTTGATCGAATGAACTTCTTCTCTCAAATATCGTATGTCTCTTGATAGCCTGTCTTCAGATTCCTTAATCTGATTTATAATGGCTGATTCCAATCCTGCGAAGTCCCCACCAGTAGGTCCCGGGTTCAATCATCCGTGAGAGGGGTACCATCTTCCCGAGGCAAGGGAGTTAACTATAAAAATCCAGTTGAACTTTTACAGACAGTTAACTCCTTTGCCTAGGGAAGATGGAGGGGTACCTACTCTAAATACTGTTTGCAGTCAGGGGTGATTCCTAGGTCGACAATAATCGACCGTTCTTCACTGCATCATGTAATCTGTGACAATGACACTGACGTTGTTTAAAATGGACAATAGCTGAAGATCCATGAACAAAAAATAAAATTCCCAATAATTTCCTTATGAAAATTACTAGTTTCTTTTTCTCCTCGAAAACTACCACACATTCATCAATAAGCCCCATATCATGGGTTGCAGCGTGCAAAACAATGACACGATTACCTTTACCTGATGGTCTTTGGATGCTTTTTGTCGATCTGCCGATAGCCGCTTGTAGTCAGTGGAATGATTCATCAAGGTGAATTATCTGGACGCCCTTACTGTGATATTTTCCCCTGTAAAGTGCTCGGTCATCGCCACGCACTGTGTATCGAAATCCCATCTCTTGTAGAGCAATAGTTAGTGCCGTAAACATTTATTGTATCTTTAATTCCTCGCTAATTCTACTACAAGTCAGGGTTACTTTCTGCTCATAAAGCTTGTACACTATAGGCCTAATCACCCTGTATCAGAGCTTTCTAGTATCCTTTTACGTCCCAGTTTTGTTTTTGAGACCTGTTTTGTTTTATTTATCATGCTGTAGACTTGATGGTATGCATTGAAAACCCAATAGTTTGGGCAGTTCGGTAATTCACCCTATCTAAATTAATAAATGGTTTCCCTCTATCCCTCTAAAGTGTAAAGAACTTGTATACATTTCCCAGTACAGACTCCATATCGCGTACCATGGTTATGGCTATGCAAGTGTAATGTAACATGCTTCATGGGAGCAATGTTAACAAAGCAAACGCATCATCATTTTGTCATTTTAGAAGATGCATATCTAGAATTTTCTCAAAATGATTTTTGTGTGTGGATTAGATGTTTTATGAAGACTACATTATTATCATTATAACGGAGTCACGTGCGCATATTTCTATAGTCCATTTTAGACTGCCATCATTGAATAAATGTCAACTTCCTGTTTTCGTTTGAATTTGTCTCCTATAAACTTGTCGATAGGGCTCCTTGTGACTGAAACACTTCAAACCACAGGTAGGTCGAACGGTAGTTACTCGATATTTTAATAACAACAGTCTGTGAAAAAATATATCCTTTTTTATTCTGAAGGACTGAAGAATGATGCTTATGTTTGATTTTCAGGTAACTACTCGTGTATAAATAGTGGCGATATGGAGATCTTCGTAGAGCGAGTGATGGCGGCGTACGACATGGGCGTGGTGGCGACAGCCAATAAGACGTCGGTAACTAACTGGGACTTCGCAAGTGCTTTCTTCTTCACCATGACCGTTGTTACTACGATAGGTACGCATTGGGGTCGGTTTCACAGTCCTAAGGCCAATTTCACCGGCGCTGTTATAAATGGCTAGTCCCTCAGCTGCGAACTCGTAGCTATGTATCGCTCCACATGTCCTCTCCGAGGTCCCTGTTCGCAAAAAATACCCTTAAAAAAGTAAAGGATCATGAACTATAAGTGATAACAAGTATTAGAACTAAGATAAGTGCTGCTGACAAACATCCTGTGCAAGAACGTTTAAAACATTTATTTTTTATTTTTTTATTTTTTTATTTATTTATTTTTTACGTTTAAAACATAACACCAAAACACACGTGCGTAGGGTGTCAGTCTTGATTTTGACACTTTCGAGAAAGGTCGATTAATCTCTGAAAATCTTTTATGATTCTGCTTATCATTAGTTGTGATTTACTTGATTTCATTCATTGTTTGTGTATGAAGTAGCGATGCGGCGTCTGAAACGTACAGTGTCTATGGGCTTTTGGCAGGCTGGAATCTGGCAGAAGTCCGTGTGCAGTGACCATGTGTTCAGTGTTTCACAGTCTGTGATTAGCAAACTATGGAACAGGTAACAACAAACCGTAAATGTTGACGATCGACCCCGTTCAGGGCGTCCCAGGTCAACGACATGAGTACAGCATCGATTAATCCAAAACCCGGCTCTAGGAAATTGAACTGAAACGGAGAATGAAATTGTTGCAAATTGTTGCTACTGGAGTAGGAGTTAAGGGTTAGACGATTAGAAATCGTCTCCATGCAGTTCAACTCCAAGGTCGACGGCCACGTGTTGTGCTTCCCCTTACAAATCGTCACATTGCCAACAGACGTCAATGGTGTACACAGCATCGAAACTGGGGTAATCACTTTGCACTTCCTTGGTAGGTGTGGTCGTGTCTGGCGACGTCAGTCTGAGACCTCTTGACAGTTTCGTCGGTGGATCGTTTTGGTGAGGGTTAGAATCACCATGACTGAGCGAACCCCACTTCATTTTGTGCAGGAAATGGTCACTGGACAGTACTGTCATACAGCTTCTTTTTATGTACATATTTATTTACAATGTGCATACAGATTTCCATAACTTATAAGCATAAAGACGCTGTCCGTCATTGTCACACTCAATCCTGAGTTTGGTCACACTCTACCAGTGTCCGTGTACTAAAGTCTCTATATATAATAATACTTATGTCTTATGTTCGATCCTATATGGTGAGTCTGTGATCTTGTCACGCCAATACTTCGTAGTGTTAAGAAACTGAAACGGCCGAATCGTTATTCCAGCAACGATGCGGCCGCTGCGGTCAGCAGTGACCTGGCACCATTCGCTGCCGGACCTCACTAAGAACACTTGGGATAACTTGTCCCAAGCCTTCAAAGACATGTTTGGTCTCAACACAGCTGGTAGTCGCGCGAGGGTAGATGCTCTCTTCCATTACGAAAGCACCCCCAGAAGGCCAACATTTATAGAATACCGTGGCCAATGGTACCAATTTTAAGTTATTTTCGAGTATCCCTTACTTTAAAAAAAAAGTATATTACAGCCGTAAAGATCCGGGTTAGACTTGGTCTTTAGCAACGACCCGATAGTAACGGTATCGGGTGGCCAGGCTTGTTGACTTGGTTGAAGCATGATCTTATCCCAATTGCGTAGATCGTTGCTCATGATACCAATCACTGGATTGTCTGGTCCAGACTTGATTATTTTCAGACCGCCTTCATATAGCTGGAATATTGCTGAGTGTGGCGTCAAACGACAAACAATCACACAATCACACCGTGAAATAACACATTGCTGTACAAGGTTCAAATGCTTCTATAACTTCAGGCTATGGCAACATCGCCCCGAACACTTTGGCTGGACAGGTTTTCTGCATACTCTGTGCCCTGTGCGGAATACCTTTATGTACTGTGTTCCTGGCAGCGATTGGTCAGAAGCTGAGGTATCCCATCACGAAGCTCCAGGAGAGGATGGTCACGAACCGATCTCACCGTGTCTGCAGATGTGTCAAATTTTGTCTGTGTTTGTTGCTGGGGGCCACCCTGCTGATCCTCCTGCCTTCAGTCATGTTCACATTGGTGGAGGGGTGGCACTATGGCGTGTCCGTGTACTATAGTGTTATAACGCTCACTACTATAGGATTCGGGGACTATATAGCAGGTAGGTATGATTTTGGATTACCGTCTTGCAACCCTATCTTCCCGCGGCAGGAGAGTTAACTAACTACAAAAGTCTAGTTTCCAACCTTGGCGAACTAGGCTGGTATTATGGAGTTACATTTTGGCTGGACTAACGAGTCTACGCATAGTTAAATCAAAATCACGCAAAGAAATTGAAATTCGGTTCGTAACTGTCTTCCAGATTTTGGTTGATTTCAGGATTTGCAAAGCATGTGCACCGCCAACTCGTTGTCAACAGATATTTTCCTGGTCTTTTCATGTTTTTAGTCAAGGTGCTCACGTGATTTTGATGCACTTTGCGATATCACAATATATATCTTGATTATCGATCAGATCGTCTTGACTAGGGGCCGCCATTTTGTTTGAAGCAAATGCAATTAATACGAGAGGTGGAATCCGATTGGTCCATCGGAGAGGCATATAAGGGACATAGCTCGTAAGTAGTATAGGACAGCGCTCTGGTGACTAAGCCAGCAGGAGTTATCTCCCTTACGGAAGTGGCAGGAGTTATCTCCCCCACCAAGACGGCGCGCAAGCTCCTTCCCAGCGCGTGACACCTTCGTTACACTCTCGGTAGTATAGAGAGCTCCGGGAACGTACTATCGCTGTGAGGAGCTTGGACGGCGAGGAGGAGGAGAAGCGCACGTAAATCCTCAACTTAAAATTAAAAGAAGCGCACGTAAAATCTTCCACTGAAGCAAGTAAGGCTATCATGGGCATCAGGGTTGGCAATAAGAGGGAGGAGGAGGAGGTATCTCTTTTGTGAGTTGGGAAAGCAATGATCAAAGCGTTTTCTTTCGGGAGAGTTGGTTGGCCCTGAAAAGGGAACGGGAACATAAACAGGAATGGAAACTTCATCCTAGCTACTTTGGATGTTGGACTCAGAAGTAGCTGCATGGCGGCCAACGGCCAAGGTAGCTACAGTTGGCGCATAGCATGCTGTGGTTCCCGTTAACACCTTCTGTAGCCTTTTCCTCCTCCGGGAGTTGTAGCCCGCGTGCTCTGACGAGCAGCCTTGGTGGTCTGCTCTTCACGGGGAACCTTTCGTTCTCCGGGGGATGTAGCTGGGGCACTCTTACTCTGAGCCTTTTCTCCGGGGAATGTAGCCGGGGTGGATTGACGTGTTGTCTGCATGGTATATACCATTCTTGATGCGATGATGATCTTTTCTGAACCTAAACGAGTTTTTTGCTGTTTTGATGGGTCCAGCGCGCCAATGCGTCTGACATGCAGGGCTCTGATTGGTCCGTTCTGGGGCCTGGTCTGAGCCTAGGTTTTCTAAACCAGCCTGAACCTTGTGTTTCTTTTCCATAGGAACAGGCATGTTCCATGGGAGAGAAAGCACAACCAACTGTTCGACCAATCAGAGACCTGCACATTGCATGTGTGGCCTCTGATTGGCTGATAACCCAAGCTACTGATTGGTTGCATTGTCGATCCTGTTTTTCTCTGGTGTGCATGTCAATCCACATCCTAAAGACAACACAACACATTTTTTTTTTCAACTTTTTAATTCCCCCGCTCACGTGTACAAACCAACAAAACAAAAGCAACAGAATTAGGGGCGTCTCTATGATTTGGGGGAACAGGAACTTTGTCACTAGGGTGAATGTATGTACACTCATAAAACTCAGTGAACATATGTACACTCATAAAACTCAGTGAACTGGAACTTTGTCAGCAAGGCGAATGCAGGTTCAGTGAACAAGTGTCAGGTCAATAAGGGCAGAAAGGTTGGTTCTTTTGATGTAGGGAACTCGTCTCATCCACAGGAACAGAGGTAGACACTTTGGTATGAATCCATTCTAATACAGTGGCATCATTGTTGACGGTGTCATTCCAGTCCAACGCATTTAACACTTGATTAAAAGTCCCCCCACGCATGCGATAGAACAGCATGTAGAGACAGTACACACCACACAACGTGCTGTATCCATTTTGAAATGGTGTGTATTCCATTGTTGTTGACTTTGGCCCATGCGATTCAAAGTCTCTTTAAACAGAGGTAATGAATACAGTCCATAGCTATCCATCATTTCCACGGATCCAGGAGCTGGACGATAGATGCTCACCCAGTGTGTGTCAGGTTGATCACTTGGATCTGTATCTACCATGTATGCTTTGGGGTCATCCTGTGGCCATCCCAGTCTGGCAAAGTCATCTCTGGCCAGGGTGCCCCGGTAGATGGCATGAAGTTGGACGTCATCAGCCACGATGGCTTCTCAATCCAAGGTGCTCAACCCGAGTGGTTCCATTGTCTCATGTAGGAGGGGGAAAAGTGACTCTGTCTCTGCTCTTTTTATAATCATCGCATTACGGAAATGATCTATTTCCAGAACATTTTCATATTCCTCAAAGCAGATGAGGGTGACCGGGGTCTCAAGAGCTTGTCAAAACTGGATAGCCAAACCTAACTTGCCAGTGTGTCGAGGATAGTTGATGCCTTCATCAGCGCCAAGGTCTGGTGTGAGATCCACCACCCACAAGGTGTAACCTTCAGCAAAGGCCTTGAGAGTCACCTCACAGGTCTCAGGCCACCACAGCTGTCCAGTGTTTCAGAATAGATTCATGTAGACTTGTTTCAAATGGGCTCCGTTGTTGCTGAAGTCGCTTTTCATTCCTGTGCCAAGGACTTCCTGCCCATTTAGTTTCAGCTTCATCATGGTGACATGATTGTGTTTGAAGTTGTACAGATTCTTCTCATTGCTTCCTACATAGTCACTATTGTCCACCAGTCCTAGGACCATGCGTTTTGGTAATTGGCCAGCGATGAGCTGATCCTTGTGAAAGTCTCTACCTCAGCTCAGGATGTCGTGGGCTGTCACTTGCACACGGGAAAGGGGATACTTGGCAGTCACCCCTGCGTTCAGACTGGACACATGTGTTTCTCGGACAGCAGGATCTATGTTGAGTTGACGAACACAAAAACCGGCTTTGGTCAGGGCTGACACCATTAGCAGCACACATGAAGAAGAATTCATCGGGACTTTGTAGCAATTCCAGTTTCATAGGGACAATATCCAGCAGATAGCGGTCTTGAAGAAACAGGTCACACCACTTCCTTGGTGGGCACGATAAGATCACGCCGAGTTCTGACGCCCGTGTTTCTTACATCAGCATTTGCATCAGGATTAAAGGCATCCATTTTACCAGCACTATCGAGGCGCTTTCATACACATGGGTGACTTTTTTCAGTGAGAGGTTCAGAGCAAACAAGTCAAAGGGTGGGGCGACGTTGTACCATATCAATGGAAAGTGAATTTCACTGACTCCGACCTCCCACTGTTGGCGGTCTAGATGCAGAGGATAAGGCAATATGATAGGGTAGAAAGCTCTGGGTGAATGAGGTATCAGGTTGAAGTCTTCTGGCGGGTGTCGTCATGGGGATGCCTGGTGAGGTGGCCAAGGTTGGTGGTGGAAGTATGTATCCCAAACAACTGGAGAGCAGGGCTGTCCACAACTGTTTCTCTCAGTGATCCAAGGCCAACTGAAAAATGCTCATGATGATTATGCCATAATTCATAATGATCTGAGCAAAAAAACTTCACTGCGGGGTAAAGTCATGCCAAAACAACACCAAGGTGAATTTTGGCACTGGTGATGACATGGTGCAGCAGCAAGGTGAGGTTCAACAGTACCCACAGATTCTGAGAGGCTTCTCTGCAGTAGTGGTGGTGGTGGTTCTGTCATCGCGTGTGTCCATCCTCTGAATGAGCCTGAGTGACAGAATGCACCTTATTTTATCTGTAAATGATCTGCAGGGATCCACGAATTAAAACTAGCAGGGTAGCCAATCCATTTCACCAAGACCTCTTCTTGACCCTGTTTCGCCCCTCGACGTCTTTTCAGCACGTGATCCACGGCATACACATCATCTGTTTTCAAGATGGGCTGTATTTCTTCAGGCTAAAACGACTTGACCAACTAGGGCAAGACTTTCAAATAGTGTCTGGTCCCATGCTGAGTAAAGTATCACGACATTTTATTTTTCAGAGTCCTTTGAAACCGTGCCACCACGGCTGCTTTAGTTTCAAGATTTTGACTGGTGTAGAAATGAATGCCGTGCTTTGTCATGAGATCCCCGAAAGGTCGGTTGACAAATTCTCTGCCTTTGTCTGTTTGCAATTGAGCAGGTAGTCAACCTCTGGCTTGTTGCATTAAACAAGGTTTGAAAACCTTCAATCAAAGCAGAACTGCTCTTGGTCTTCAGGGGTTGCACCCATGCCACCTTTGAAAACACATCGATCACGCACAGCAGGTATTTGAACCCTTTGTCACTCACGTCTGCTTGCCACAATTCATCAATGCCTCCCACACGATAGTGGTCTCTTGGAAAGGAGCGTCTGGCTGGTTTGTGCAAGGTGTAGGTACTTTGGGTTTGCAACCAACGCTTGATTTGACTTTGTGATGGAATAGTTTTCTTCTTGCTTTTACTGGTTCTTGCATCTTGAGCGTGGATGCGTGCTGCTTTCCACAAAGGTCGCCAGCCGCCAAAACTTGCTGGATGTTCAGGATGAAAGTAGGTTTTTTCCAACCAGGCAGTCCAAAGGGTGGTATCAGAGGGAGGTGGGGTCATCAACCATGGGGTTTGCATCTCATCTTCTTCTTCTTCTTCCGCTTGTGGATCCATCTGCCACCATTGCCTCCTTCTCTTTTTGTGACTTTGTGGGGAGAACTTGGGGAGGGGGGGACTGGGTGTTGGGTGTTCTTGGCGTTGGGTGTTTTTGTTGCTTCTGCATCCATTGCCATCGTTGAGGATTTCTAATGATTTCATGGGGAACATGACTGTTGACCAAATGATGACTCAAAATGGTCCAACCTGCAGGCCCCTCTTTGGTTTTCTGTTGACGCACTAAATCATTGATCAAGTCCACCATGTGTGTGCCAGAAAGGGGTTTGGTTTGAATCCTTCAAATTCATGGCTTTACTGGTCATGGTTTTAAGAACAATCATGACAGTTGGTTGTATTCTTGTTCCCGCATGTGAAACGGCTGCTGTGATCTCTGCACCAACGTGTCCATCTCTTCAAAATTTTGGAGACGTTTCTTTTCCAAGAGAGGGGTGTAAAGTGTCTGATGATGACGTTGTTTGGTGGCCTGTAGACTTTGCCATGTTTCGTCAGGCACCAACACCATCTTGCGTGCGTACTTCATGATGGCACACCATACACTGATCCCAACCTTCCTGGTGTCAGACCATTTATTACTTTCCTCAAGACAAAGAGGCAAGGGCAGAACCAATAAGAAGAATGAGCCCTCCTAAGAATTTTACGTTTCTTGCTTAGAGATACTTCATGAACATATTCAAGACTTTGCCATGTCGTTGCAAGTTTTGACTTTGAGTGGTGGTCATGGGAATATTGCCTGCATACAAGTTCACCACACATTCACAAAGGGCACCGATGAGATCGGTAGGAGCATGTTTGAGAATGGCTTGGCGCATCGCTGGAGTGGCAGCACACAAATGACAAAGAGCGTGTTTCTGTTTCCTGAGGCACCAAGACATCTTTCCTACATGGAGGTGTTAACCTGAATGAGGCACCTGATCTGCAACATCTCTCTTTTATCAGGCAGTGGCAGGAGGGAGTTGCAACTGTTGATCTACCTTCTTGGAGGACTTTCTTTTGGTGCACATTTGCACCAACCGCATGAGAGCATCAGCTTTATACGCTTTCGTGAGGTTTTCATGAGCCTTTACTTTTGGCTGAGTAGTCGCCATCGTTGTTGTTGGTGTTGTAGGCCGGTGGCGCCTGGTGTTGCCCTGTTTGAGGAGTGGTGCTTGAAGATAATGTTGCCATTGCAACAGAATGCGTGTCAAAACCCCTGCAAGTGTTCTACCACCGCTGCGCTGCATCAGGTAGTCAAGACCTTCATCCATAGGCAAACGTGGATTGACGATTTTGTCAGGGTATCTTTATGTTTCTGCAGCTATATCTTATGTTGAGCTTCCAATGGTACTCATCATGCTCTCAGGTTCCGCACGACAATCGCAAACCAGTGCAAAAGCCGATTTCTTCCTTTGACGGCAAGGGTTGAAACATCCCTTGACGGAATAATAGGCGGTCTCTTGTCTTTTTTCTTTCGCGGGGACTTCTGCTGCTGCTGCTGCTGCTACTGCTGCTACTGCTGCTACTACTGCTGCTACTGCTGCTACTGCTTATACTGTTGGTGCTGGTGCTGCAGAGGTTGAAGATCGAGTGGTGGTGGTCGTGGCAAGGGTGCTGATGATGAAGGACGTTGTTGTTCCTGACGATGCATGTTCACTTGTACCATCGAAGAGTGAGACAGTTCTGGTGGTGAAGGGTTCTTCTGAAATGCAGATGACACAAGGTCCCGCATCGACGTGTCATAGAGATCATCCATGATCATCTCTTGGTCTTTATTCTTTCCCTTCATAGGTCGAGCCTGTTTCCGTCTTTGCTCCATGATGGCGGTGTCGGTGGTGGTGATTGAGGAGGAGGAGGAGGGTAGCTTCCCGGAGGAGAAGTGTTTTCCTGTCGGGGCTGCGTAGGTTTATGTAACCGTCTCCTATGTCTCTCCAGATTATTATGTCTAGAGAACTGCCTCCCACACTCGGGACATAGTGTGCACTCCAAGACGTCTTACATGTCACTGACAATGTGATAAGAATCTATAATGTGTTCTGGGTGACTGACACAAGGCAAATGATACTTTCAAGCATGACCTTTCTCTTTCATCTTTTTTTTTCTTTAACGCACACCCGCGAAAAACAGGATCGACAATACAACCAATCAGAAGCTTAGGTTTTCGGCCAATCAGAGGCCGCACACGGTAGGGGGAGATAACTCCTGTCACTTCTGGTAAGGGGAGATAAGTCACCAGAGCGCTGTCCTATACTACTCTCGTAATAGACACTGGTTGCGCTACAATCGAGCCCAGGAATTCCAGCATAGTTCGGCAAGGGTCGAAACCTGGACTTTTTAAATCAGTTAACTCTCTTGCCGCAGGAAGATATGCAACCCTTGCTACAACAGTAACTGTATCTGTACGGATATAACAGTGAGTGATGTGAATGTTGTTTTACGCCGAGTCATATCCGAGATAAATCGCTTCGGTCTGTACATAATGAAGTCTGGTGATAACGATAACATCCAATCAAGCATTTCGGTAAACCTACACCAATCTCTGAATCGACCCGCGAAGATCCGGGCAGAATAGGTCTTCAGGAATCATTGCTTGCCGTAAAAGCCGACTAACAGGATCGGCTCGCTGACTTGGTTGATGCATATCATCGTATCAATCACTCGACTGTCTGGTCCTGACTCGATTATTTACAGACCGCCGTCATATAGCTGGAATAGTGCGGCGTTAAACAATAAACAAACAAACATCGATGACTTTAAAAGATGGCCACAGTCCTGTTTAGAGACGCGCTTACCATCAGTGGGCTATACGACTGATAAAGTGATGACACTGTGATGGTATGGGTTTGCAACACCTCCAGCTACAGAACATACGTTGTCTGGCTTCGTTATCGTGATTGGGGTTTTGAGTCAATTACGCGTAGAATTGGTCGTCAGGCTGAATTCTCACAGTATAATATTCGCCAACACTCAGTTCGCCTGTCAAGATACTGAACATGTGTGTGATGAACAATAGACATACTGAAGTCCTGTAGCGCCCTAGCGTCTGGGCTAACTCACCCAGAGCATGCCAAGACGAGGCCAGACAGTCCAGGCCCGTCCCTTGAGGGTCACCTGACATTCTGTTCCCAGCTGTGAAACAATCACACCTTTACCGTTGATCTTGCATGTTGTTTCATATTGCCAAAACCCATGCAGAAATCGTGCATGTTATCTACTTATATGTTCAACCTATTTATGCTACTCCACCTTTGATAGGGATTCTCTTAGCATTCCGGGCGGTCGGGTAGCCTAGTGGTTAAAGCGTTCGCTCGTCACGCCGAAGACCCGGGTTCGATTCCCGACATGGGTACAATGTGTGAAGCCCATTTCTGGTGTCCCCCGCCGTGATATTGCTGGAATATTGCTAAAAGCGGCGTAAAGCCATACTCACTCACTCACTCTTAGCATTCCATGATACACGGAACTGATTCTCCTGATGTCACGTGTGTATTTACAGACATATCTGATCAACATCAACAGGGAGGAGTATGCCACGCGGACTAACACAGAATAACGCAGACCATGTTTTTTGACATTTTGAAACTCAGATACGAAATTCAAACACTACAGACAAGGGAACCCATATCTAAGTTCCATGTGCCACTATATACCACAGTAATACAAATCAACGTAGGGACCGACCATTTTATATCCTCGAGATGCCTGTGATTTTATCAAAAATATATACTGTACCCGAAAATGCTTGAAATAATAATTATGCTTCAAACTGTTGAAAAAAAAGAAGTTGTCACCCAGAAAAAGTACTTTCTTGAAAGATCTTATAAAAAATATAGTTTTTTTGTTTTTTTAAATATCTGGGTTTGCAGCTGTTGCTGAAAAAATACTCACACAATCTCCAATATGAAATGTCCGGTCCCTAAGAACTGTAAGCAGAATGTGTACTGTGGGTGTGTTTCTGTTGCAGGTCTAAAGGCGGTGCCGTACCGTGAAATATATCGCGTTGTGTCTGCTGTGTGGGTGGTTCTAGGTCTCGCCTGGGTAGCCCTGCTCATCAGCGAGATGACCGGGGACATCAATGACAAGATCGTCAAAAAGGAAAAGAAATGCTGTACCAAACATGTCAGTGTCAAACTGTGCAAAAACGAAATATAATGCAGAACCAAAAATGTCAGACTGTGCAAACCGACTGTTAGTTATTAACCTATAGTTTCTGTCGTCATCAGCAACAGTCACATCACGGCAGAGCGGTAGTTGAATGTTGAATTACGCCGCAGTCAGCCATGTACTACAGCTATACCACGGCCATATTTCGACCAAAACGATGGTCACAGTCTGTAACCACGGATCCCCATTTATGCCAGTTTGGGAGCAAATTTGGGGCACCATTCCTCGCCGGATTATACACGTCGACCACGACACAAACCAGAATGTGCTGTATGTTAGAGACAATTCATGTAGAGGCGGTGACCCAGTCGTTTAAGGCATCGGAATTCGCTACGTAGAGTTGCGTCCCTTAGGCGTACCAGAAACCTGTGATCGTAGTCTCGAATCACGTTCCTCTGATTTCAAGCTGACACACCGTGATACATAAGAAATTCTGCACAAAGCGGCATTTAAACTAAACTCACTCACTCTCTCACAGTTCAATTAAAGCGAGGTATTCCCTAGCCTTGACAGGATCCATTGGTCTTTGGTTCGAATCCTCCATTAAGCCAGATTATGAACCTTGGTCTGTTGGGATAAACGTCAGTTATCGTTTTCTTATCCATTAACTTGACACGTCATGATATAACAGGAAACTGTTAAAAGCTGAGTTTAGCTGAGTCACTCTCTTAAGTTCTCATCCATTAAACGTGAATTAAAGGCTCATTCATGTCTACAGCATTCACGACTGATTCGATGAAGGAGCGCTGTTTGACCCGTTTAGAGGATGGCGCTGCCGGTGTACTGATGTGAATCAGTGTTTTAATTCAAAGTGAGAGAGTTGGGTGTAACGTCACTTCTAACAGTATTCCAGTTATATCACAGAGTGTCAGCTTACTGTGGAAGGAAGCCCCGACTTGATGCATGCTTGGGTATGGTGCTGACAAACCTAGAAACATAATTCGAACAGGGATTCGAACCCATAATGACAGGTTTCTGGCGTGCCTAAGGGACGCAACTCTGCACGACCAATTCTGGCGCCTTAGACGACTGTGCTCCATCGTAGTAGTGGTGGTAGTAGTTGTGGTAGTAGTAGTAGGAGGAGTTGTGTCTGTAAAATTTGTAAATTTGTCTTAATAACAAAACTGAAAAGCCTTATCTTATCTTTCAGGTGGATAAACAGGACGAATTACAGATGGCATCTCTCGAGTCTTAGAAAATGTGATAGTGAAGTGACGTGTTTGAGATACAAGACCCCGTGTCCTCGTTCTGTGGGTGGAACTATGGGCGCTTGGGAACCTTGATTTTATTGGTGACTCTTTGACAGAATACAGTTGAATTCATCACCATCCATGCCCGTCTTCATGTTGGAATAGTCGATATGATGTACATATGTACCACGAAGAATCCAACGGACTCCACGACGAAATCAGCCTAGCCTTATTCAATCGGCACATGTTGTTGAAAGATTTATACGTGTTTTGCCTATGTGAAAAAAATACATACCCTCGTGCAACCAGGTTTCCTTACGGAAGTAGTGATATTATCAGTGTACCGAAGCAGTACAACAGCATACCACGATGAAGACAATACTCTCTTGATACCAGTATACCACATTGAAGACAATACTCTCTTGATACCAGTATACCACGATGAAGACAATACTCTCTTGATACCAGTATACCACAGTGAAGACAATGCTCTCTTGATACTAGTATACCACGATGAAGACAATACTCTCTTGATACCAGTATACCACAGTGAAGACAATACTCTCTTGATACCAGCATACCACATTGAAGACAATACTCTCTTGATACCAGTATACCACGATGAAGACAATGCTCTCTTGATACCAGTATACCACGATGAAGACAATGCTCTCTTGATACCAGTATACCACGATGAAGACAATGCTCTCTTGATACCAGTATACCACGATGAAGACAATACTCTCTTGATACTAGTATACCACAATGAAGACAATACTCTCTTGATACCAGCATACCACATTGAAGACAATGCTCTCTTGATACCAGTATACCACGATGAAGACAATGCTCTCTTGATACCAGTATACCACGATGAAGACAATGCTCTCTTGATACCAGTATACCACGATGAAGACAATACTCTCTTGATACTAGTATACCACAATGAAGACAATATTCTCTTGATACCAGTACACCACGATGAAGACAATACTCTCTTGATACTAGTATACCACGATGAAGACAATACTCTCTTGATACCAGTATACCACGATGAAGACAATATTCTCTTGATACCAGTATACCACGATGAAGACAATGCTCTCTTGATACCAGTATACTGCGATGAAGACAATACTCTCTTGATACCAGTATACCACGGTGAAGACACGTAATTGGTATACGATGACATGTATCAACCAAGTCCGCAAGCCTGACCATCCGATCCCGTTAGTTGCCTCTTACGACAAGCATAGTATGACGCGACCTGGGATCGAACCTCGGACCTTCCGCTCTCCGGGTGGATGCTCTACCACTAGACCACGGAGGCGGTCCAATCTCATTGGAGTGTAATCTGATCCATTATTGTTGGAAATGCATTCTGTCCCTGTATTCACCCATCTATGGATTTATCCCTGTGTGATTAGACATGCAATAAGAGCGGGGCTTGCAAATCGTGGTCCATTGTGTCCTTCTTTCTTAATCGTTAATGTTATTCCCCATCTCCTATGAAACTGCATGAATGTGAAACTCGATCTTAAAGGTCACCACGAGCCGGCTTACGCACAAATGGTTCTATATACCTTCATGAATGTTATATCGAGACTCTTATTGTTGTCTATTACTGACCCATGTGTTTCAAATTGTATGTTTTTAAATATCATTATTTTTATAATTATTATAAATGTATGAACTCGGTGGTTGCGTTCATTATAATCTGCACGTGGTAGTAATATCTGTGTTTAGTCGTTTTCCACTTCTACAATTTGAAAATATCCAAAGGTTCGGGTGCCCTATAGAACCATCTGGCTTTGCTCTTCTTGATTTTAATACTTTTTAGTAATCAGATGCCGGGTGCATGATTGGATTGTGTTTATCGCCGCTTTGAACAGTATTATAGCTACATCACGGTGGAGATAGCAACAGACTGAACCCGAGTAGAAGCTTTAGGGAAAAGTACTCCCAAGAAATTCATGACCGCATGTCACAGGTGTATGGGGATAGGTGACCTAGCTATTCCACTGTTAAACGTTGAGCATCTATGTTTAAGGCGTGGGAACAATTAACCTTGATGATGACTCTAGGTCTTGGCGTCCCTCAACTTCCATCAAGAAGATTCCATCAAGGAGATAGAAAAACTTATACTGTCAGATAGACGTATTGCCATTGGTGAACTTGAGGAAGACACAGGTCTAAGCCATGGATCCATTAAAACTATTATTTATGAACATTTACAGATGAATACGATATGTGCTCGTTGGGTGCAAAAGTTTCTAAATTCTGATATTAAGGAAAACAGAACGGACAATACAAGATTTACAAAATTTACTAGCTGAGGAGGATTTCGTCAAATTCAAAAAGTAGTTACGGATAATGAATAATGGTTTTACCACTATGACCCCGTGTCAAAACGTCAATCCATAGAATGGCACCACTTCTCCGGCACCAAAGATATTCTTGTCTTCAAGATTAGTGAAGAAAGGTATGGCCACTGTATTCTGGGATGCAAAGAGTGTGATCCTTGTTGAGTACTTAGAAAATTAAAAGACGATTACCGGTGCCTAGGATGTTCATTTGCTTCATCGCCTGAGAGATTCAATCAAAGAAAAACGGCGAGGAATGTGAGTTCTACTACTTCACGACAATGCCTCTTCTCACACCTCTCGACTTGCAAAGACTGCTGTGGTTTGCAAGAGTTCACCCTCCATACGCGCCAGACCCGGCACCAAGTGATTCCCACCTGTTTCCTTAACTGAAAGAATACCTTCGTTGAAAGTGCTATGACGACAACGGGATAAAATGGGATTTTTAGGGTGGCCTCAGAAAACCTATTCTTGAGTGGAACTGAAAAGCTTCACTATCAATATGAGAAGTGTATTGAAAAGCAGGAAGATTATGTTGAAAAATATAATTAAAAACACTTTCACAATTGTTGGTTTTGCTTGTTAGGATTACAACTTTTTGACCAGCCCATGTGAACGTATGAATCAATATTTGATACCAGTTTGACGTGACCAGTAGAGGGCGACATCCGGTCGCGTTGAGAAGCCATCTGCCTGCTCTCATCCACCCGACGTTAAATGAGATAACGTGCCTATTACGGGACATTTGTGTTCTAAATGAAGGAGATAAATGGCATCTTGTGCGTTTAACAACAGTGGAATTTGGCATTGCTGAAGTAGTTCTGTTAAATGTTTTTTAAAGGTTTAGCGAAGAAAAAGAGCTTTAGGAATACTGTACACCCCAGAGGTCTTGTGCCCACAGAGCGACGTTACTCCATACCACCGGAGTACCACACACCAACCTAGGGATGACCGAGTCGATGTTCTTTTTACAAACAGAGGTACGTTCCAGTAGCAGTGAGGTGAAATGGGGTTTAACGTCGCATTCAAGATTAGTGCACCTATATAGCGACGTGGATGCATGTTTGTGTGTGTGTGTGTGTGTGTGTGTGTGCGTGCGTGCGTGCGTGCGTGCGTGTGTGCGTGCGTGTGTGTGTGTGTGTGTGGTTGCTTGAGTACATGTGTGTACTCTATTTTCTTTGTATATATTCTTGACACGTAAAACTAGGTAAATGGTATCCCATATGTTACAAATGGCCATGTAAATACAAGACACAAAATTAACTATTTATGATTATGATTATTGTTATTATTCATTTTACTCAGACGATCTGTGTGTGTGTGTGTGTGTGTGTGTGTGTGTGTGTGTGTGTGTGTGTGTGTGTTCCAGTAAAAATGTCTCCAATATTGATGCCACATTGACAAATTGCAAGCCTGTAACCTAACAGTACAGAGTGAGTGAGTGAGTTTGGTTTTACGCCTCTTCTAGCAATATTCTAGCAAAACACCAGACAGGGGACACCAGAAATAGGCTTCACACATTGTACCCATGTCGGGAATCGAACCCGGGTCTTCGGCATGACGAGCGATAACAGTACAGACACAAACCCATAGAGAATCGAAACAAGTAAAATGCTCACTCGCCCGGATATATTACCGCTATACTATGAAACAGACAACTAGTCTAAAGAAACTTTTAACCATGTCATGTCTTTGTTGGCCAACCTCTTTACTAGTGTAAGCTATCATGTGTCATATAGAATGGGGACGATTATGTTAAATCGAGTCAAACAATGCAATAATCGGCTGCAGGAATTCTTAAAAATGTACTAATAATTTAACATATCCAACATGACTATAAAAATGTTAGATTTTATGTAATGGTGTCGACCAATGGTAAACTTTACAGTCAATTCTTCTTAAGTATCGGCTTCGCTAAATGATATCCGGACAACTCGACACTGAGGTGATTGGATGAAGACGGTGATGTATTATTATTGTGGCCAATCACAGAAAGCGTAATAGAAAGTGTCCTATATAGACACCTCTGTGATAACTGAGTCCCCGGGGTCACATGGGAGTGTGTGGGGGAGGTGTGCAAATGATAAAGACTTTGGGTGTGTTTTGTCTGTTAGATTTGAAAAGCTCGGGGGCTTGTATGTGGGTTTGTTTCTGAGGGAATTACGGTGTGGTGTTAACAGTGAACATATTTGTGTGGGGTATTCTGGCTTTGAAGTGTAAGTGTGTGTGTGTGTGTGTGTGTGTGTGTGTGTGTGTGTGTGTGTGTGTGTGTGTGTGTGTGTGTGTGTGTGTGTGTGTGTGTGTGTTCCAGTAAAAATGTCTCCAATATTGATCCCACCTTGACAAATTGCAAGCCTGTAACCTAACAGTACAGAGTGAGTTTGGTTTTACGCCTCTTCTAGCAATATTCTAGCAAAACACCAGAAATAGGCTTCACACATTGCACCAATGTCGGGAATCGAACCCGGGTCTTCGGCATGACGAGCGATAACAGTACAGACACAAACCCACAGAGAATCGAAACAAGTAAAATGCTCACTCGCCCGGATATATTACCGCTATACTATGAAACAGACAACTAGTCTAAAGAAACTTTTAACCATGTCAATTTAAAATATAGAATCTGCAACAAATACACTCAGTCCACAGCAGTTCAAGTAGAAGTGTAAATGTTTTGCGAACACCAGCGATGACACATAAACTATAATCACAGGACAATATGCTTGTTGTGAGAGGCAACTAACGGGATCGGTTGGTCAGGCTTATAGAAAAACAATTTAATCTTACTTACTTACTTACTTACTTACTTACTTACTTACTTACTTATTTTGGAGATTTAACGTGCGCTTTCCGACTGATGCGTTTTTCGCATACGGAACAATTTAATTCTTTTGGGAGTAGTATATAT